TATATATATATATATATATATATATATATATATATATATATATATATATATATATATATATATATCAATCAGTTTGATTCAACCATATTCAACATGTTTTCATCAACGTTTTATCATCAAGATACATGTACAACGTATCACAAAAGAATTCTATACAATCCTAGCTACCTGGTGCTACATATAAGAGTCAACCGACCAAAAAGAATGAAGCCACGCTTCACAAAAAGACCTCCAGCAATCCTACTCTGCAATGCCTCATAGAGCATCATAAAATAGCAGAAGGGCGAGAAATATTATTATAATAATCAATGCATATAATCACACACACACACACACACACACACACACACACACATATTTATATTTATATATATATATATATATATATATATATATATATATATATATATATATATATATATATATATATATATATATATATATATATATATATATATATATATATATCACAACATATATATAATTCACCAAGCATATTCATCATGCATATATTAACTATTCATTCATATACATCACAATGTATATATTCACACTAAACACATTCATCACTTCACATAAACATTTACTATTATGTTTATTTACCAATACACAATTCATGATGATAAATGCAACTCATAGAGACCGACTCACGACTCTATGCAGATGCACATGCGGTACCGACTCAATCATCTCAAATTCACTCAGGAACTTATTGGAACCATCACTCACACCCCACATGGGCACACAATTTTCACCCATTGCTCACACCCCACATGGGCACACAATGTTTATGGATTTCTCACACCCCACACGGGCGCACAACCCGATTGCTCACACCCCACACGGGTACACAATCGTTCAGCAGATTCTACGCGGAATCAATCAGCACAAGAATGTATATCATGATGCTTCACATGCAAAATGACTCCATACACTTCTTGAAATGCATACATATTCATAATATTTTCATGCATTCATCTCATATTATCACATATAATCCATATGCATTCACAACAATTATGCCAAACGGCAACCGAACGCTCTAATTATTTAAGCCTCACTTACTTAAAATAATTAATCTCGATTAATCGGTAAAATCGGCTAAAAGTCGGCTAAAAATAATATTTCTTTTCACCAAGTTATAGAACATATTATTAGCTTCAGTTTGATCTAAAGAACGACAAAATTCGATAAATGGTGAAGAAGTTATGAATTTTCAAAGTTTTGAAAAATAATATTTTTCTCACACTTACAGTGTTAACCGGTTAACACTTTCTGTTAACCGGTTAACACACCCAGATTTTCAAAATTCTGACGCATTAACACTTTCTTAATCGGTTAACAGATATTGTTAACCGGTTAATGACTCCAAAAACTCAGTTTTTAGGCCATTTTTTATACCGTTAATCGGTTAACCCAAAGTGTTAACCGGTTAACGCCTGAAATTTTAGAAAAACAAGGTTACGAGTTTTTGCCCAAAACCTCCAAAAACCTGACCGATTTAATTATTTTCTCCCGATTAAATACCTATTCATCATTACCAATCATATAGTAACAATTTAAGATCATAAAGCGCAAATTCTACGACTTCCGATTTTCATCCAAAATCTTAACCTCCAATTGTCCAAAAATGTCAAAATTCACAAACTCAACCAAATTCAATCAAACGAAATCCAATAATCATGACTAAACATTACCCGACTAAACTACGCAATTTATTTTGAAATTCATCCGCGAAAACATTGGTTTCTATCGATTAAACTCATTTCTGCCCTAAAAATGAGTAAAAACTCTCCAACAATCCAAACTAATCCAACAAACACATACATAATCATACAATTGAGAAAATAATAAGATTTCACACCCTTACCCGATTAAATCGAAGCTTAGATATTGTTCTTGATAAATCTATGATTTTCCTCTCTTTTTCTTCTCTTCTTCCTTCTTTCTCTTCTCTTTCCCTCTATTTCTCTTTTTCTTTCTTTTTTTCTATCTCTTTTCTCTCCTCTTTCACTTATACTCTTTCTATTCTATTTCTCTCAAAATATCTATTAAATCCATTTTCTCACAAAATATTCAACTTAAAATTAAATACTAAATGTCTAAAATACCCTCCAATCTATATTCCCCGAAAACTCTCCAAATCGGTGAAATAGCATAGTATGCAACATAACATATTAACACATAAATTCCACAATTAAAATAATAATTATCCAAATAAATCAAAAAGACTCAACAAAAATGGGAAATCAGAATCGGGGCATTACAGCTTATGCTCAAGGTGGAAGGAATTCTTATTTGGCTTTGCTATGGAGTTTACTATATTTTGGTTAGATCTTTCTTATCTCTAACTTTTATTTAAAATCTTCTCCCTTTTCAAAATCTTATTTTTTTCAAACTTGAACCACTTTCACAATAAAATTTGACTTTGTCAAGTGATTTTTTTAACTCTTTTTCTCGAATAAATGTTAATTCATCTTAAGCATATCAAACCATTTTCATAAGATATAAAAAATACACAACTCACTCAGGTCATTTTATGCCCTTTGTGCACTTTTCTCTTTTAAAACTTTTCATAAAGTTTAGACATGAGTCATTTTCATAGTGGAGATGTAATTCTCGTATTTTTCATAGTATTTAAGACGTTGACATTTTTCACTTAGATGTTGAGTGATAGACTTGTTGATTTTAATCCAAGTAAAATCCCCCATTTTAAGGCGATGCAAATGTTGTCTTATACTTGTGGGCGACTAGTCCTAGTTTTCTCCTTAAAATGACGACTTGCCTTTTCATTTAAAATGAACTTAACAAACCACTTTTTTGTTATTTGTACCGCGAACTACGAGGTTTTGATCCTATAGAGTATATAGAAGTTTTGGGTGCTAACACCTTCCCTTAGCGTATCCAACCACCATACCAATTTTCAGTTTGTTATTGTTTTAAAACTTTTTAGGTTTTGTTCGCTCTTTTCCCTTTTCTTTTGGATAAAATAAAAGTGCGATGGCGACTCTTGCATTTTTGAATTAAATTAATTAATAACTTATACTAACAAATTTTCCCGCTACAAAATCTTCCACAACACATCAAATGGCTACCAAAAATTGCTTGCGCGGGCGAACCAAGAGATCCCACATCACCTTTTCTTCTTTGAATAAAACTTATCATAAATATTCACCACAAAACAAGGTCGAGCACTAACACCCCCTCTAGACAAACACAAGATAAATCAGCCTAGAAAACAAGAAAACTTTCTTATACCTTTTTCATTACACTAGATAGAAAACAACTCACTGCTAAAAACTCTTAATTGGGAAAAACTCAAACCACAAGCAAAATTCTCCCACAAAGACCTACCACCCACATATCATATTAGAGAATTAACCATGGTCATTAGGGGTGTGCATGGATTATAAACCAAACCAAACCAAACCACATATATGGTTTGGTTTGGATCTTAAAACCATTTATATAAAATCTGTTTATTTTTTTAAAACCGGTTTACAAGTGGATCGGTTTGGTTTCAAACCGGTTTTTAAAGAAAAAAATAGTTTTTTTAAAAACCAGTTTTAAACCGGTTTCTCTCAAAACCAGTTTTTTTATTTTCTTTAAAGAAATCAGTTTTAAAACCAATTTTTAAAAAAAGAACTGTGAGGATTAAGGTTTTTGAGAATTTCTTATAATGCAATTATAAAGTATTAATTAAGCGAGTTTAAATTTCTAAAAATTAATCATAGATCAAATCATAACTTAACATTTAAAAAAACAACAACAAATAAACGTTATCATGACAAATTAAGATAAATTCTTTTAAAAAAAGAATGTTCTACCCTTAAATTTATTTATTTTATTTTTTAATACTTACAAAATCATTTTTAGAATTTATAGTATCAGTGAAATCACAAATATATATTGACAAAAAAGAAATCATAAATATAGAGATTCAGTAATAGTGAAATTTTCCCACATTTTCTTCTGTGCATTACCCCTATTTGCGAGACCCTCCAAGGAGACTCCATTATCATCATTTTCCTATCTGCTTCAAATAATATGATCTCTTTTAAACGATGATCAATTACAAAATTCAAACACTAATTAATGGATATTATTATAAAATAAACACTAATTAATAATTATTAATGATTTCTAAAATTATAATAATATTTATACAATTAAAATTTATGATTTCACTATTACTGAATCTCTATATTTAAGATTTCTTTTTTTGTCAATCTATATTTGTGATTTCACTAATACTATAAATTCTAAAAATGATTTTGTAAGTATTAAAAAATAAAATAAATAAATTTAAAGGGAGAACATTCTTTTTTTAAAAGAATTTATCTTAATTTGTCATGATAACGTTTATTTGTTGTTGTTTTTTAAAATGTTAAGTTATGATTTGGTCTATAATTAATTTATAGAAATTTAAAATCGCTTAATTAATACTTTATAATTGTATTATAAGAAAGTATATCTTCTCTTTTAAAAAAATCAGTTTCTCTCAAGAAGAAAGAGATGAATAAAATTTGGATTGTGAGGATTAAAGTTTTTGAAATTTGTGTTGATCTTGATTTTTCCAAACTATTCATTGAAAAATGGTTACCAAATCTCAAACCGGTTTGGAACAAATGGTTACCGATTTTTTTTTTAATTTGATAAATGGACCACCAAATTTAAAATATAAATTTGGTTTGGATTTTAAAATTTGAATTAATTTGGATAGAAATTTGATTTATGGTTATTGGTTATTTTGCACACCCCCTAATGATCATCAGCTTAATTCCATTTAGCTCAAATAAATAGAGCTACCCTTTCCCCCATTTAACAGTTTATTTAGTACAATTCATACAAGCCTATTTTAATTAACTAATCCATTTTTTAATTTCAACATTTTAAAGCTAGTTTACACAAAAAAGTATGGGAGAATTTTTGTTTGATAAATATAAATAAGCAGAGTCTTATTTAGAAATAGTAGGAAGTTATTATTACAACAAGATAATTCATATTTTTTGGAGAATATTGCCTGTAGTTGCTTCCAAGTTTGAAGTGAAGGACCATGAATGGATGTTGAGTGCTACAGCAATTGTTGAAGTAGCAGAAAAACCAACCTTAACGGTTTTGGGGAGCACAGCTTTCAAATCAACCTCTTGTGAAATGGTAGAAAATTGACCATTTGCATAAGTGACAACAGCAGTCAATGTGTTAGAAGGAGAGTCATAGATTATAGTTACGTTAGTCAATGAACCACTCAGATAGTTATATCTCACGGTCTTGGTCGAAATTAAAGAGTTGATGTCAATTCCAATATGAGTCATATAGGGATCGAAAGGATTGGGATAAAGGTCAAACTCTACACCAACAAATCGATTTATTGAAGATTTACTATTAACGACTCCCAGAAATTGACTGTTTGAGTTGTCTGGAATGACAGTGTCTGGTGGTGCAATGAAAAAGATCAGTCCATCAGTTGGAGAACGTCCAGACGGGTTCTCTATCACGAAAGAAAAGGAAGTGACAAAACTGGCAACATTGCCGGTAGCACTGTCCCAAAGGGGCACGGGTGTTGTATATAAGGCACGACCTACAGTTTGGTAAGTTGTAGTTGGAGGAATTTGTGTACTATTGGTGAGTGCCAAGACACCATTGTCTATAATCTTGGCATCCCCTTGGAGGGTGATAGCAGAGTTACCAGAAGTGAACTTGGGGAAATTAAAGGACAGTGCGTGAACATTTGTGGCTAGCAAAACAAAGATGAGTGAAACAAGGGAGAATAGTTCGTGAGTGCGATAAAAAGCCATTGTAACTATTGTGAGGTTTTGTTGATATCAAGTTATGAATGAGGATACTTGGTTGCTCACGCATACTTATATATGCACTTGAGTTTTCTTTTGGTGTGACATTTAATTTAAAATATTTGACAACATCTGTTAAATATTATATTATATACATGATAATAAAAGATTGAGGCGAGAGAAATATGTACACACTAGAGATAGATATGAAACATATATATTTAACATGAACTTAAATTTAAGGGTTTAAATAATACTATCATAGAACAAATATAGGTTGTAAAGCTATATATTATATTTCTTCCTTTTTTATTTAAAAGATTCAACCAAAATGTCTTTTTGAGTCCTTCATTTCTTAATCGTACATTTAATGTTATATATTTAAAGGATTTAATTAAAATGCATTGACGCTGTAAAAAGATTTTATACTGTCAAGTAATTATAGATGTTGGATGTAAAAATGTTTGATTTTTATTTTAATAACGTGTAAATTAATACAAACGGATGATAGTGATGAATTAATAGTGTAAAACTTTTTTCCCCGGTTCATATTAATTAATTTCATATTCAAATATGCAATTATATATAAATAAAAAAAACAAAGACTGTATTACTCAATTATATATGCACCATAGCTCGGTTTTGCCATTGTACATATTCGTTTGTTAATGTGTGCATGTTACACGCGGAGGAGGTATACATTATTTTTACATATATTTCATTATTTATTGTGCTCATGACACACGCAGAGGAAGTAAAATATTGTCACACATATTTCATTAGTGAATGTGTGCATGTTACATGCGGAGGAGGTATACACAAAATACACAACTCATTAAGGTGACAGCTATATGTCAGGAATCTATAAAATATATTACAGCTAGTTTTATTTTGTCTAATTCATGCAGAAATGTTTTTTAATTTTAGAAAAAAACATCAGGCCATTAAGGTGACAGCTATATGTCAGGAATCTATAAAATATATTACAGCTAGTTTTATTTTGTCTAATTCATGCAGAAATGTTTTTTAATTTTAGAAAAAAACATCAGGCGGAAAGTAGAGCAATAAATTAGTCTGATGTATGGGTAGAAACCGATAATTAGCCATGTGTAGAAATTTTTTATTTTATTGAAGAACAATGGAGAACAATGCAAAATGGTCAAAAACAGAAATGTTAAAAAAATGTTAATTAATGTGTTCATATTAGTTGAATATGTTAAGATACTAGAAATTATCTAGTGTAAGTGAAAAGCTACATTAGTAAATTGTCATTGTTGTTAGGGAAAATAGTTAGTGTTTAGTGGAGTGTTTAATTATGAAATAAGTATTTAGTAGTGACGACTCTTTAATAGCTGTAACCATCACTACTTATTATATGAACGAGTTACATTTTGATAAGAGAAATATAAATATATTCAGTCTTAAAAATATTTTTTTATTCTAAATTCTGCAAATATATAATTTATCACATACCACCTCTAGAATTCCATCATCGGTGTGGTATCAATGCTACAGATCCCTGAAGTTGTAGCAAAACAATAAAAAATATGGTTTTCACAAGCAACTCTTCCGCAATTTACAGCAATGTTAAAGTTTCTTTGTTTGAAGGAGAGAATTATGATTTTTGGGCTATTAAAATGGAGACTTTATTCACCTCTTTGAATGTCTTGGAGTTCGTCCAAAACGGGTATGAAGAACAAGTACCAACAGAGGTGTATTTTGAAATTTTTTTCTATAAATAGAAGTTTCTGATCATTTACTTCCACATTTCATCTGATATTTTTGTTCTGCTAATAACATGTATCGTCGTCGGTGGGGAAAAATCGTCTATTTGAGAGAGAAGCCTCTGATGGACATGTTGTTTTGGAACATACAAAGTTTCAATCAACTTAAGAGGGAGCTGAATCGGTGGTTGGAAGGAGACATTGGTGAAGGAGAAAAGATGTGTAGTATCGAGAGACTTGATTGGCTGCGTGGATGAGTTCATGTTAAGACAGACAAAGATGCGAGGGAAGTTATATTTGAACCGAATAAAATTAGTTTGATTGTTGTAATCAGTTAGAAATGTCGTAATCACCTAGTTAATGTTTTATGTTTTATGAAATTAGTATGTGTTGTGTGTCGTTATTCTTGTTTGTTGTTAAGACCGTTATAACGAAGACTTATCAATATATTAAAATATTTGGTTACAACAAATGAAACAATAAGCTAAATCATGATGCAGATGTGCCTCCGACATTGGGATATTTTTTCCGGTTGTGTCCGGCCTGACGACATATACTGCACAATCTTATCATTTTATCAGCCGTATCCATTTCGGTTCTTATATGCTTACTGTTTGGGCGTCCCTTTTTCTTTCTTCTCATGTCATCGTTGTGCCAAACTATGTCACCTTGGTATGGAGGTCAATAATCCTCCATTGGTAGCACTGCAAAGCCTTCGTTGTATACGTTCATAACATTAATCGTCTTGTAAACATCAGATAGATAGCCATAAGCATCCTGACAAGCATGTGCACATGCCGCAATGATATGGATCACCTAACACCTGTAGATGTAACGCCTCTAAACTACATCAATTTGTATTTTATATCATCTATTTAATGATCTAATATTTTTCTCTTCTTCAGTTTATATGGCATCCATATCTAAACATGGAACACCTACATGAAGTCAGACACGAAGATGTTGTTGTTTCGACTACATGCGTATCAATCATCAGATTCACAACTGTGGAGATGCACAACAGTTACCGTGTCAAACTACAATTTATAATGCATCAAAACATTCCAGATCCTCCTGTTGACATCAGTAAATGGCATATAAAAAGAGTTAAAGATCAATTGGAGTTTCCCGACTGGAAGGATTTTGAAAAATCTGAGCGTCATAAATGGATGACCCACAGCGCCCATGTCTTATGTGACCCGGTGATGGCAACACCATCTATACCAACTATTAATTATATGGCTTGGTACAGATCGGTTGAAACTGGGTTTGTGTCCAAAGACAGATATTTATACGACCCACACGAAACCACCTACACATAAGATGTTACAACGTCTAACCCATCAGAAAGGCCATATTACTCACAGCCCCCAACCACTACAACAAAAATGACTTTAGGCAACGGAGGAATAGATAACGACTGTAAAATCGTCCCTATAAGTAACATAGGCTAAGCGTTCTTACGTGTTGACGCTTTTTTTTTCAAAACCGTCCCTTATTTATTATATGCTACGGTTTTGAAAATGTGGTTATAGTATAACCGTAGCTTATTTCTTTTTTGCAACGCTTTTGAAGTGTGGTATTTTTTATTTCTATTTTTTTAAAATTTAATGTTAATTATTCGCATATAATTAAATGGACAGAGTGGAGATCGAACCCCTGTCCTTGAGGTCCTCTAACTTAAACTTGAAAATATGATTGAAAAATTAATTTAAGAAAAATGGCAAAACCAAGACTTGAACCCAAGTACCTTGCTATGTAAAAAGACCTCATTACCACTAGAACAATAACGCCATATGATTTTAATTTTAATTCGAAAGTTATTAATTAATTAATATGTTCTAAAACTTGAAATTGGGGGTTGTTTAAACCCTAACTTTTTCATCTCTCTGCACGCCACTGCCAACCACAATGCATCAGGAACCCTTCTCCGCACTGGTCTCCAATAATCGGTTGCTGTCCGCCTCATTTTCCAAACTTGTTCAAAACCCCAAGTTTCCCCCGAAAATCTCTTAAAAGCTCTCAGTGCTGGAGAATCAAAGTTGTAGTTTCTGATGCAAGTTGAAAATAAATTCCGTGAATTTTTCAATTCAGGGTTGCAGCAGGAAGTTGGAACGAGGATGGATGATTCAGAAATGGCTTCTGAGGGAATCACGGTGAAGTAAGTTCTGGTTTTTGATTTAGGTTTCGTGAATTTCGAAACATTCGGGTTCTATCAGATGCATTAAATGAATGTGAAATTGTTGCGCTGGTCGTAGGAACCAAGAACAAAGGGTGATGGCGTTGAGGAGAAAGACAGTGTGGTGTGGACACATGTAGTCAATTATTTCTGTTTTATCAAATTATAACCGATTTGGAATCTCAGTCTCTATGATCAGATTTTTTCGACAATTCTTGGCATTGTTTGGCATTCATCAGATGTCTCTCTCCTTACACTATGCCAAAAAAGACCTTTAACAGCGCTTTTTTTGGCCTTTAGCAGCGCTTTAAAGCGCTGCCAAAAGTGGCGCTGCTAAAGGTAAAGGCAGCGCTTTTTTTCAATGAAAAAGCGCTGCTAAAGGCTCCCTTCAGCAGCACCTTTAGCAGCTGCATATTTCCCCCAACCATCCCCCCCTTTAGCAGCGCTTTCACAAAGCGTTGTCTTAGAGTCCACCTTTAGCAGCGCTTTTACAAAGCGCTGCCATAGCCTCCCCTTTAGCAGCGCTTTTTACAAGCGTTGTCTTAGACCCCCCCCCCCCTTCCAAACCTATAGCAGCGCTTTTGTAGCGTAATGTTTGTGACCTTTAGCAGCGCTTTTTTGTAAAAGCGCTGTCTAATGTCCCAGATTTTAAAATTTTTTCTTTTAAAATATTCACCCTGTTTTGTATATTTACCAACAACCTGCTTATATTACACAAACCTGCTTATAATTCAGGCCTTTATTTCAACACTTTGGCCTTATATATACAATTCAAAACTTTGACCTTAAATATACAATTCAAAACTTTGGCCTTATATATACAATTCAAAACTTTGGATACATTGTAAGTCATCACTTTGTTCATAAACATTTTAATATACACATAAACCTATTTAAATATGTTACAACAAAATTCGATCCTCAGAATTACAACAACACAAATACATTCAATTTACATATAATTACAATTCTTCCAATCCGATAACTCTATACAATTCTCAACCCAAGAATAAATTGACACCATTCTTCTTTAATTTCTTCCAATTTTGCTTTCGTGTAAGTAGCGCACTTGAATTCATCAAATTACTACATAATATAACAGA